GGCGCAGGAGGCGGGAGCGGGCGCCGCGCTCCTTGGCTGGCTCCCTCCCGCCCCACCGCGCTCGTGTCGTCTTCTCCTCCCTCCCGCCCTGTTCCCCTCCCTCCTGCCCAGCTCCAATCCCCACCTTCCGTCCGCTCCCGCCCCTCGCCCTCCTCCTCTCCCTCTTCTCTCCCCACCTTCTTCTGCGAACCCCGCTCACAAAGAGCTGAGAGGAAGGAGAAGCGCAGAGACTCCGAGGGACGCTCGGAGAGGGGAAGAGAGATAGGGAGAGAGATTTTGAGGAAGGTGGACACACAAGACACAGGGACAGGAAAATCTCAGATGGGGAGAGGGTGACCCGGCAGGATACAGGCCAAAAAAAACCATACGAGCCAAACACTCAGTAAAAAAGGTGGACACATAGGTCCAGAAGGCACTAGAAACAGAGTACAGTGAAATGCCTCGGCCTTTCTCAGCCTGGGCCTTCCACAGGAGTGAATTTGGGCTTGGGCCTGACTCGGAAGTCGACTGACTCATCTGCGGCTTGGCCCGGTGGGGCTAGCGCCACCTACCCACGGAAGCGCTAGATTCAGATGAAGATACCTGCTGTCACTTGTATTAGTCTCTGGACACCCTTTCCTGGTTCTCTGCCTCATGGGAGACTTCTCAGGTCTCACCTGTTCTCCCCATCAAGTCCAGCTCCCCACCACCACCAAGCAGCTCCAGTTCATCCATCGCCCTGGTTTGCATCTGGACAATCACTCTCACTCCCTAGGAGACTTCTATCAAAAAGTCTTCCTCATTTAACTCAAGCCTCAGGCTTCTCAATGGACGTGGAAGTTCATTCTGTGGTCTAACCTCGTTCCATTGTTTTGCAGTGTCTGAGGGAAAGATAGAAAGAAGGGATGTCTTTCTAGAAGCTCTGAATCTATTCCCATTCCCAGATTCCCAAATGTTCTTGAGCAGTGAGCACTTCCTGCAATTTTCCCCCTCCTCTACCCGCCCCCCCCCTGAATTTTCCATGATGAAAACGGGAGGAGGAGGGGTAAAGGTTTTCCGAGGAGCCAGTGCCCAAGGCCCCATGCCCAATGCCTGCTTAAAGCAGCCAGTACCACACTAGCTCTAAGGACCTCCAACTCTCTATCCTTTTTGTGCTCATCTTGCCTTTGGCAAAGGCTGGGAAATCTGGTTCCGATTACTAGGGGGTGGAGCACCTGATTCCAATCTGTCCAGTCTGGCAACGGGGAAGAGGCTGTGAAGCAGTGCATGATGACTGTGTGGGTCTCCCAGAGACTGGCATTTGGGAGGGGTGGATGTAGCTGGGACTGGGGAACTTTTATCTTACTACTCTGGGCTGAGCTGGTGTCCAATAGAGCAGTCACTGGGCTCCGGAAGAGGGGCTGGGGGATTGGAATGGAACTGGGGAGAGAAGAGGTTGGCAAGAGGGGAAAGGAGGCAGGAGTTAGGAGAGCAACAGGGATCAGAGGGTACTGGGATAGGGGCAGGACTGAAGGTCATCCTATGTATTTTGGCAAGATTTGATTATGTAATTTAGGTATGAAAATTTTTTCTTCGGAGTGTACGCTAGTTCTTTTAACACCTTGCCCGTCTCAGAGTTCATTAGGGCCTTTGACTGGGCCTTGGGATACATGCTAATGGGGCAGGCTCTAATCTCTAAAGGTTCCAAGGGAGAGACTGAGATTCAGAGGCACTTGATTGGATCCCAGAATGGTGGGCAGGGCTAGAGCATCTCACTCAAGCTGGTGTTGCTGTTCCTAAAGAAAAACCCCTTTTGAGGTTCCAAAGAATTGGAAGAGGGTCATAGATGGGTATGACCAGCTCAGACTTCATGCCTGCTTTCAACACAGGGAACAGGGGGGAAGGAGGCTGCAGGAAAGAGGCCGTAGAGAGTGAAAGATTATACAGGAAGTGGCTTAGTGGGAGTGAAATAAAAATTGGTGGCACATGGGGCCAACCAGGTGTCCTAAGGACTAGGAGGTTCAGAAAGGAAGGAGAAAGGAAAGAGAAAAGCCAGGATGATGTTAGTAAAGGTGAAATAATTTTGGTAACACCCTCTATCCCTTCCTCCATGTAGGTTCTTACCTTGTATATGCAGAGGGCAGCCCATCTTGGCACTGAAGGCTGAACCCCCTCTTCCATGGTCTGGGGTGATCTCATGCCTGTGACCGAGTACGCCGAGATCCTTGGTGTGGGGGACTAAGGAGGGCACTGAGTGTTGGGAATAGCACTAGGTCAGGGGAACTTCAGAACAGGGCTGGGCGCTGGGAACCAGGAAGAGTGGGGGAAGGGGCAGAGCTGAATCCAGAGGCGGATCTCCTGCCTGAGGACAGAGCATGTATTGTCCAAGCGGGAGGTTGCTGCAGCTGGGTGGGGAGCAGCACGGCTTGCTTCATCCAAACTCCTTTTTGGTGAGGTGGGAGGGTGAAGGAAGGCGAGTTCCCCCTTCACTTGTGGCCCTATGGGTTATAATGCTTTGCCGAGAAAGTTTTACTTGGGAAATAATGCTTCTCAGGAGATGTGTAGCTCTCCCACTTCCTGAGAAACCAGATGCTGCGGGCTCACTTAGCACTTGAGGTGACGTCCTCGGCACTGAGACCCTCACTGCCTTGGGATCCAGAGCCTAGTGTTTGATTCTATTTAGGAGAAACTAGGCTATGTTATGTGGCCTCTTACACAGATGGGACCCAAACAACCTAAAGTTGATCCTTGTAAAGTAGGATGCCATACCTGCACCCTCTGGTCGCTCAAAATTGGCTTCTGAGAGAGTCCACACATCTTCATGACTGAGGATGACAGGCATACCAGCACTTACCTTTCCCCTAACTTTACCCTCTTGGGACACAGTAGAGGGTATTCCTTCCTCCCTGTACTTTTCTGTGCCCATCCAACATAAACCTTAAAGTTAGCCTTTCCCAATCCTATTCTCTACTTCCTATCATTCACCCAGACCTCAGTATTACAGTGAGAGTGGCTCGAAACCAAGGCTTATAGGTGACCGAGACTGATTCCTGCAGTTAAGCAAGCCTGCCTTGTAGGTTCCACAGATAAGGGGCTTTTCCTTCTCTACCTAAACCCACATGGATAGGCTACATGCACACTGAGCCTCTTATCCAACTGCGAAGAGATCAATGCGCTGGCAAGAAACTATTAGAACAGCTGCTGCAATTGGCCCTGGAAAGCCACTTGTGTAACTATGCTCCCATCTCCCCTCATATCCCATCCCCCTTTCTCCTTGGCTCAGAGTCCCAAAAATTGTTGACTGAAGTTTCCTGGGCTATGCTCCACCCCTTTGTGACCTTAAGGATTCTCTGCCACTCTCCTAACCTCTTTCCTTCCTTGCAACAATGAACAGTCTGTCCAATGTTTGGAAAATTCCCACTAAGTCTGAGCGATGATTAAGAGAAAAGTAGCTTCAGCTGTAAGCCAGACCAGCTTGTCAACCAGAACTCTCTTGTGTGCTATATAATCTGGGAAAGCAGACGTAGCACCTCTCCAGACTGCTGGAAAGTGGAGGTCTATGGAGGCACTGCCTCAAAGACATGAAGATTTATCCCAGAGCTCCTACTTCCTCTTAAACAAAAAGCATAGGAAATGGACTGTAGATATGCTCAAATGATATTAGAAGTTAACACCATGTAAAAATACTGGAGGGGAGCAGATGTGAATTCCCAGTTCTTGGGCCTCAACAGCCTCCTCTTGTAACCTCGCCCTTTGTACTTGCACAAAATGGTACCCAATGCTGAGAACTTAAGGAGATGGGAGGGCTGGATAGCAGACTTGTCACGGGGGAAGAGTCCAATAAAAAGCACTGGAAGTATGAAGTGTTATGTACTGTCAAAGAATTTCAGCATTAAAATGAACTTTAAAGATCAGATTTATTTGGAGAAAACAAAAAACCCCACAACCCAAAGGATGGGATTCACATCAAGACATCTCCCAGGTATTAAGTCTACAGATTACAAATCATTTTCATAGAAGATATTTTTGTACAAATTTTACATGTTTTGAGGAGCGGGACATAAATCCCTGTTTGTTTTAACAGGGGACAGGGTAGAGAGTGGGAAAAAACCATTTTGGATACAACTATTTGGAAGGAGTAGACATGAAGAGGGCAAACCCTACCTTTTCACCATCAATAGCAAATGGTTTAAAAAAAACCCCCATCAACCTTGGGTATCTCTAAAAGCCACTTCCTAGCTACTAGCCATCCAAGCCAGTTATTAAAGTTACTTCGCTTGGTATGTCTTTTATGTCAACTGGGTAAATGACTCATTATGCCCACTACTGCAGCACTCATAAACTCACACCTCTGGCATGGCTGGACAGGGTCTAACCTAGGACTGATGGGAGAAGGGCTTGCAAAAGAGACCAAGGTGTCATTTCTCTTCAGGTACCAATATTGCCCATAAGGATACCATCTAGTGAGCTGATAGTACAAAAGTACACATAAAAGCAGGCAAGTTTAAGCTACTGTGTGGCAAGAAAAAACCAGGACCTTGTTAAATAGTTCTCTCCATTATCACTTATTACTTATTCTCTCAAGGGAAGCTAAAAAAATAAAATAAAATAAAACAAAACAAAAAACAAAACCAAACCACACATTGGTCTAGGCCATATTATAAATCCAAACATTGGTGTGGGATTTCAGTGGAGAAAAGAAAACTTGTTTATAAAAAAAAAAAAAAA